CAAGAACAAAGCAAGAAAAAAGTATTAGTCATATGTCTCGTAATTCAATTGTTAAAGCGTTAAGAAAGAAGATGGTTTCGAGTTTATTCTTCAGGTGAAATAAGTCAATTCGTGATAAAAGGATTCACGCCTCAACAAAACTTAATGTACTGACTCACTAATATCGAAGAACGGGAAAAAACACAGGAGAGTTGGATGAAGAACTTCCATAGTAACCGAACACACGGAACAGTAAGTAAAACAGACAAAACAAGTCTTAAACACACCTTCTAGTTTATTTGAACAACGAACGCTTTTATATATGCGGCAGGACCCTCTACACAAAAGAAGAAACACCTCCTGTCCACTAGGCCACCGAAAGCCGGACACGCAGACTGTCTAAGTGTCCGGCTTTCGGTGACCTAGTGTAGAGGATTTGATTCATCTTTTGTTGAGAGTGTTTTGTCGTATATACAAGAGTGTTCGTTGTTCAAATAAACTAGAAGCTGTGTCTGTAACTAATATTCCAGGATAGCTGTGGCGAGAGAGAAAAAGTAAAACCCCTCTAGGCTATGCCCTGAAAAATTAAATAAAAATTAAATGTGTGTCCAAGAGTAATTCCACCAAAAATTAAACGAAACGTTTAATCGCGCCTTTTTTAGAGTTTCTCGATTTTCAAATTTTTCTGGTCACGAAGCAGGCAATTCATTCATGATTATTTCCTCTTCTTCTGCTTCTGCTATGCGCTGAGATATAGTGTTTGCAAGACCCGGATGAGTTGTGCTTACTGCTTCCAGTAACTTAAGATCACTGAGCCTCCAGCTTTTTTGTTTCCCTTCTTTTTTATGTTTATATTCTTAATTATGGCGACAAAGGTAAGGGACAGATATAACTTTCTTACAAGATTCCAAAATAGTGTACGCTGAAACCTTTGAATTCCGAGAATTAAGTTTTTCAAAAACACTGTGAACGAACAGAGCCATTCTTCGCGGAGAATTACATCTCAGGCGACAAGTAACGCACTGTCTAACTCAGCTGCTGTGGGTCACTGACTTGTTCTATCCGCCGAAGCTTTCTCGCGCCAGAGAAGCCGACGGAAACGACGTTGGCTCCCTACTAACAAACGCTGAGCAACTACTTCTAGCTGGATTCTTAGCTCATGGTGTAGGTTTCAAGATCAATATCTGAATACGCGTAGACCACGAATCGATCAGTGACTACATGCGATCACTGACGAAACTATCAGAACACTGCGAATTCTTTACGTTTCTCAATGATCTCCTGAGAGACCTGATAATTTGCGAGATTAGTAACACGCACATGCGCACTCGACAGCAGGAAGACCAGAAGCTCACGTTGGAGTCCGGAGTGGAATTTACTTTGGCAATTTAACGCGGAAAACGCGAACGTGAGCTCCTACCGATGTTGCGAGTGTCCCTGAGCAAAGGAGCAGCCTCTATTTAGGAATTTTGCACTCACTGAAAGAACACCCAGCCGAGAAGCGAGCCAACAAGAACACCCAGCCAATTTATAAAGAAAAAACTGCAGACCCTTTTAGCGTACGTCTGCTTCAAAAGAGGACGGATTTAAAAAAATGGGCTTGAAAAGCCTGCTCCAGTACACGTCGTTGAACAACCAGAACGCGAAAAGCCTCCGAGCAGCAAAGCAGAATTATATGGCATGTGCAAATTAAACGCTCCTATCAAGACCATTTCATTAATGGATGTGCGGGAGCTTCAAGAAAAACCAACGAAAATGAAACTCGACAAAAGAGGAATATTCCAATATTGAAGAAACAAAGTTCCATAAATTGTTTTTAAATTTTCTCTTAAATGTTTTCAGGTTCAAATGACAACCAGGCAGCTGAAGCCTGTTTTCTCAAAAGCTTCTGTAAATTTAAAGTACAAGCATCATTTCTTTTGAGTTCCTGTTAACACTAGCCGGAGGCAATGCTGCTACGCTTGCTGAATGAGATTGAATAGACGAGCAGAACATCAGCGTCAAAAATGTATCTTCCAACAATGATGTTCAATTGCTCATAAATGAGCGCACCGCCTAAGTTTCTGATGAACCAGGAACATTTTAAAAAAACTTTAGGGGAAACTGACAACCGAAAAAGAAAAAACAAACAGCGAATCACCAAGGCAGAAAGTGTTCCTTCCGCTTTACTTGACAAAATACCTGGAAAACTGCAAAGACTACAGTGAGGGTGTGCCCTGGAACGGGTAATGTCCTCCAACTAGCCAGCACCGATCGTCTAAGTTTTTAATAAAGATTATCGCATTTGCATTTTCGGAGGCTGCAAGGTGCCTGTGAACCTTGATGCAGTCCAGAACCAATACCAAATTTCCCAGATTGAGGAGTTGTGGACGAAGCTTTCTGGTGTATGGCCAGATTCACCGAGATTGACCTAAAGAACAACCATCAGCAATTCGTCGTGAATACAGCGCCAAGAAAATGCTCCAAGATTGACACGCCAGAGGACTTTTCGAGTACACAAGGTTTTCATCGATGATTTATCCGGCCTCAACAGTCTTGTAGTGGAAGGTGGAAACCCAACTCCTAGGTTGCAATCATGTCGTAGTCTATTTTGCTTACATTCTGATGATGGCCGGGTACGGATGTCAAGGATGTCTCTGCCATAAGATGGTATTCGATAATGGTACTGCATTTATATGTGCGCAACTCCTCGAGTTTTGTTGAATAATTCCCACCAGGAGCAGCAAGGTGTCAGAATATCATCCTGCATCAAAAGTAGGAACTGAGGCAAGAGTTCAGCTGGTAAAGCACAAGTTGAAAAAGGCCGTATCCGGAGAATTTATGACCAAGATAGACAGGGTGTTGTTTGTGTACTCGACGACCCCTCATAATCTGACAGGTTCTTGTCCAGCTGAATGCTACCAAAGCGTCACTGAGATCTGTGTTCAGACTTTTGGAACGATTTTACTGTGAAATAGCTGAAACGGAAACTACTCCAAGCCAAAGACGCACGTTATTCTGAAGTTTCAAGGCCTAGACAGCTCATTGCAGAGAAATTCAGGCCAGGTCAGTTTTGGGTACTAGCTGCTGTTATCACACCCACAAGTTCAACATCTGTCGAAGTACAACTGGAAGAATGAATCAATTGGCACTGGCACGGCAATCGTATCAGGCCCTGATGGCCGAGTACTGCGATACCCCCAACAAAATAGTCCAAAAGAAATTTAATCCCGGCGTTTGTTGAGATACGGTCATCTCACGCAGAAACAATGGTGCGAGTAAATGAAACACCAGTAGCTCTACAACAATTACCGCCAGCAGTGGGTTCACAAGCAATCGTCGATCCACCTGAGGTCACCACGGCGTCCCCAACTTTACATAGGTGCATGTGGTCTAGAAAGCCAGAGCATTGTGACTTTCTCTTTTAAACCGATATCGGGGGGGGGGGGGGGGGGGGGGGGTGAGTGTTCCGATGGCTAGGTGAACGCCCTCGCCATATTTGCCTCAATTGCGTAGAAGAATAAAAGATTGGTTGAGCACGGGCTCTCACGTATACTCTAGAACGGAAACCTTCTCGTGGGCGCGGTCGCACGCCCTGCTGCCATAAAAACCAGTGGGCGAATAAGGACGGTTTCTCGTATTCCTCTCATGCTGCATCATTTCATGGATTTTTTCGGAAATGGGTAGGCATCTTCGGCACACCTGCTTCATGGCGAGGCGACGCCGCTGAGACGCATCTGTATTATCCTCTTCCACCTAGGGCATGATCTTGCAAGGCAGACGGCCGCAGGACGTATGCGAGCTCATCGGGAACGCAAGAAATTATTATTTATTGATACTCATATATAATGTCGAAAGCAACAGGAAGAGCCTTTACCGTAGGCCCCGAATACGAATGCCGATAGATTTAAGTCCTATCACACGTATTCCGCTTTGAAGTCTTTGCCAGCGTGACCAAGCTTATATAACTTTTTCACAACAAACGTGGCGGAGGACGTGGACTTGCTCACGCATTCATGCGCGCAAAATCAAGAAGTCACTTACTTAGCCCGCAATAGAGCATTGGATATATTTTAATAAGATTCAAAGTATCGCAAATCTGTTGCATGGTGGGACGTACTTGACACGAAAATCGCGTCTACGCCAATGTAGTGTGTCGCCGCGGCGCAGTGACGCAATCTAGTTTAGACGAATCGGAGCGTGCTCGCAAACGGCTGCGAGTCTGCGGCAGCCACAGCAGACGAATAGGAGCGTGCGCGTCCGTATGCAGGATACCTCATAGACCGAAATGCGGCGCGTCGCCTGCACCTAGTAGAATTTCCCGCGGCTCGAGAAAACGATGGCGTTACTTGGATAACTCAGGATATCCAAAGGTTTAAGCCACGATTGCCTTCCGCGCCATCTGTATTGATCATGCACTTCAACCCGTCCTAAAGCCTGCAGCTGTTTGTGGGCACAATAAATATAATTGATTAATATATTGATTGATATAATGATTTATTTATGTATTCAAGTATTTATAAAAGGGAAACAACGATGTCCCACACACTCAAATGTCTCATTTGAACATATCGTGTGATTCAGTTTATGATGTCTAGATTTTACAACCTGATGTTTCAGAAAGATAAATCTAAAAGCAGGCAACTCTTGAGCCAAGTATGAGAAAATTTATAAAAACACAGATGTGTCATATGTCATGGTATTGTTTTAAATCAAATCCAGTTCCATCAAGACATTTTAGAATTTTTCGTATTGCAAATCTCTTTTTTTCTGACAGAATCAAACATACTTGTGTATACCACCTTCCTCCTATAACCCCGAAAATAGTTGATCCTGCAAGATAGGAAGTTATTTGGTTGTCACCTATAGTGACTAAGTAAATATAACAATACCGTTAATTTTTTTTATCTCTAAATATTTGGAGGACAAGAACAAATGAATAATTTGTACAGGAAATCGAAGCAGTACCAGGATATACAATTTCCAAAATCTCGTGCTTAGCAGCAGTAAACACAATTCAGTGCCCAAGGTTATTTTATTTACTAAGGTTTAAGGGAATCGTCATCAATTTTCGAAAAGTATTTTTTTCCGTGGCAAAATCCACTCAAGCAGATGCCGAGCTCGCCATTTTTGACCTAAAAGAGAAAAGACGTGTTTCGGTGAACATCTGGTTTCTTAATCAAATGTAACAAATTGGTTGATATAGAGCTAAATAACGTTTAACACGACACTTTTCTGCGGCACAGGCAATAACTGAACATACGTTTCTTTGCATCTTTCGCTAAACAAATAATTAAATGTGTGACATAAAAAATGTATCTTAAAAGACAGGTCATCCACAACCACAAATCATTATATTAATTTGCAGTGTTTACTACAATACGTAAAATATGCTTAAAGCACTAGCAAATATTTAATTTCAAAACAATATTTCACAGAAAGAAAATAATATTATCACCCGAATTTTGTCTTAAATTGTATAGTCTTCATTTTTAAACTATTTACTCTTATTTCGTAGACCTTTAGGAATAAAAGGGCAAATTGTAGCTGAGGAACAGCCATTTCACATGTTTACATTAACAAAGAAAAAAACAGATCAACTACGCCTTATCACAATAAACAAACGGGTCATGTGGTTTTGTAGCTTTTCACAATAAGGGATCCAGGTTTCAAAAGTATATAATTGTCTTAGTGATAATTAGTGATCTCTATAATAATTTGTTGGATCGTGCATCCCCGTTTTGTCGCTGCAGCTCGAATGCGGCCACCGGAAGGAAGATGAGGATATAAGAGCATGCGAGGATTTTAGAAGCACAAAACTCTAATTGGAAAAATTATTGAATAAACGCAAAGCTAGTTCTTGGATTGTTGGGACTCGGATGTACTACTGTGTTATCTGAAGGACTTTCCTTAAAATGCACATGAGGTACGCTTTCTGTCCGTTGACTCAGCAGACACTCTACAATATAATATCATTATGTTGGTCGGATTACACTGTATCTGGAAGAGCCGTAGGGCAGCGGCATGCCAGTGTAATATACAACCTGCAAGCTGGTGCTTTTTTTGAAGTATCTTACAAATTCGAGAGGTGTATCAGGCTGTGGGAAATGTCCCAGAATGGTTTCCTGTCCTGGACGGGATGGTTGCTTTAAGATCCTTCTAGTCAAACAGTGTTGGCCGTAACTAGGCTTGTGGTTTAGGAAAATGTTAGGCTGCATGGCTTTTTCTGCACTGAAAGCATTGTGGTAATAAATAATAAAGGACGTAAAGCTAGCTTTCTTTGTCTTTGTTGTTCTATCGCGTGAAAACGCCGAAGGACGGCGTGGAACACTGCGCGTTCACGTCCGCAACAATTCCTTTGGTGCCAACTGTCTGCCTACCCCTTTGGCGTATCGAAAAAAAAAAAAAACTCATTTAACGCGAAATAAGGTAAAAAGAAAAACTTTCCCGGTACAGTTGTAAAGCTTTGGTTGCAAAATCCTAGGATCGTCGGTTCGATTCCATTCGTCGGACGTTTAGGATTTTGTTCTTTTTTATCCAATAATTGCCACTTCTTCTCAATTATGTTTTGTTTCGTACAGATTGTCATCTTAAGTACGAGATACGCAATTCGTAGCGGTTTCCGTGGTGTTCCGTTGCACTTTCTGAACACGTTATGAATATAAATTAAGGAACGGCCAATGACTCTTCAGCACTACTTTCGGGCTACAAGTTTTTACATTTCAAATTCAGCGATGTAACGCCGCTAACAATTGTTACACAAATGTCTAAATGTCTATAAAAATGCCGTCACCTTCTACGTTATCACGCAAATAAATCAATGAAGCAAGGAAGAGTCGGATTCGGGAAGAAGGACGTGGATTCTTTACGGGCTCTTCCTCACGTTATAAAATTACAAGTTTGTTTTCGCAATGAACTTTTGTTGGGGATAATGTCAAGTGCTTCTGCATATATTTGCTAATGTCTAGTCACCATTATTTTACTACCTAAATATTCCGGACAATGTATTAAGCGACCATTGCGACCAAGAGTGGATAGATTTGGTCTCTTAAATGCCATCAAACCTTCAGTCTAGTTACACGCCTGTGCACCAGCATGCAGTCGTAATCTCTCGTTGTAAACGGCCAAATTCAATCGGAACGCAGTCAGCCACAATTCAACGCAAGTATGTACACCAGCTTTTATCTAGCTTAGCTTTAACCCAATTTATAATATATTTGAAACAATGCGACTGGGCCCTCACTTGTACGTGTTTAATAGTACTCACTTTGCATGTATTACGATCCCTGTAAATTCCGAAGAAAAATCCCTCATTTGCAAATTGAGATTTCTTGCAAATATACAGGCAGTTTTCCACAGGATTGTCCTGAAGAATGCATGTTACAAAGCGTCATGACTCACTCTTCATAAAACAGAAAATAACATTTCCTTAATAACATCAATGGGATAGATATGCCGGGGATTCCAGGTAAATAATGGAAATAAATAAAAATAGCTTCTGCACGCTACGCATGTCGAAACAACGCAGTATTCTGTACAGTAATATTGAGCGAGTCATGAAACTTTTGTGATAAACACAAGTGGCTAATTAACAAAAAATAAATAGCTAACTTTTTAAACATTACTTTTGTACACACACCACCTAATGCAAACATTGTAAAGCGCGTTGAAATATTCAAATATAGTCGTTTTTGCTGAAGGTAGTATTCTGTGTAATGGTCTTAAATATAAAAAATGGCGAGATCTAAAAAAAATTACATGTGCACGTCGGACTTTTTTAGGTATCGCGCGAGAAATTTTAAAGGTTCAAGAACACCTCGAAACAAACTAAACACACGCACGCCACCTTGTTGAAAATGACACAATATGTTTCTAAATGTGCTCTACATACTTTTCATTGGATAATGTGCACAGAAATGTTTGTTTTAGAAAGTTAGGTAATTAATTTATTTTAAGTGGGCACTTAGGCACATCGCCAATATATCTGGGCTCGCCTAACAAGTCTGTGAACAATTCTGCATTGGTTTGACACGCGTAGCGTGCATCATGACTTTTTATACGTTGCCACAAATTAACTCAAACACACTACCTATGGTTTCTATGAAAAATGTTTTAACAAAACCATACACTTAGTTTTATAGGTCAATATTGAGTTGCCTGTTCACTGTAGAATATTGCATTTGCTTGCCAATGAGGTGTAGTGCCTAAATACCAAATATGAAGATTGGGGAAGAAAGTTAAACAATAACATCGTTTCTACTGCACGTCTGGCTTGTATTACATTTCATAATTGTATTTATTTGTTTCGTAACTCACGCTTGAAATGGTGTCGCAATCATGAAACTCGGCTTGCAACTCAGGAAGTGTGCTCCATACTTGTTGAATGTTCGCTGTCGTAATGGAAATGTATGAAATATCAGTTTTGCGCGGTGTTAGACATGGCTAAAGACGAACCCTTGGAACCTGTAGTTTATAACAAATTCCTTAAAAAAAGTATTAAAAAGCGGTATGTTGGAGGAACTCGGGAATTAAAACATATAGCTGGACCTTTCTATGGATAATATTCTCAGTTTATGAACGTCGCTTGTTCCTTTAAGTAGTTGGGTTAGTGAAACACTCTCTAAGAAATGTTTTGCTTTGAAAATAACTGTACATCCTTAAAATAAACTTTGAGTCACTTATGATCCACTTGATATGGTAATTTTTTCTTGAGGAGGAATTTCAAGGTACAAATATAAACAATTTAAAAACAGAAAATGAATTTGTTTTATTTAATTTGAGAACCCAACTTGAAAGGTGTTTGTATACAATTAAATAGTTATATGGTTGTGTGTGGAACGTTACACAAATTGGTTCCAAAACTTCCGCTGTCGGGGATAATGTAGACATTCAGCAATAACAGCTACGTGAAAAAAAAATCCGCTCCCAATGTATCTTCCTAACGGCTGCCGCATTGCGGTTTTACGAAATAAAACGCCATCTGCTCCACTGGCACTCCACTGCATTTCTTCGCGCCACGCCAATTTTATTATGGCACACCTTAAGTTACGTGATTCCTACAAAACTACCATATTTGAGGCTGTGCCCATCGCCTGATAAATGAACTCAAATTTGAGGTTCCGATAATTGCGCACAAAAAAAACGTTGTTGGTGAGTTAATTAGGCAATACCACGCAATTTTTTCATAATATTTAATTTGCGGGACTTCGCGGATAGGAGCAGGTACTTATAATGTTTCTCATACAGCAATAAACAGCTTAATTCGGAATTAGTTTTTTTATATTTCTTTGTACAGTTACACATGACCAATACCCGCATTATGCACTACTGCAGCTTATCAACCACAATCATCTTGATGACGCGGTGAAGCTCCATGATGCTTTATAACCGTGATTCTGTTATATCAGGCTTAACTGGAGTGCGGTTGATGCAATGAAAAAAGCCTTGGACATGATTTTTCTCACTTTCCCGAAGGTAGTATTGGGGAAAAATGAAATGCGAACAGAGGAGCGCGTGGCTCGCGGTACAGGCTGCGCCACCTGGAAGTGAGTCTAGGTGCGAGGGTGCGTGGCCTACTCCGACGTGTCCACGCCCCTCCCTCTGCGCTCCCCAAGCTTCAGCAGTGCGCCTCTTAGTGCGCTGAAAGCTATCATCGCTATCTTTGCTGGCTCAGCGCGTGCGGTGCAAAGAAGCTCGCCGCACTCGCCGATCAGGCAAAGATAGCGGTGACAGCTTTCAGCGCACTGAGAGGCGCACTGCCGAAGGTGGGGGAGCGCCAATCGAGGGGCGTGAACACATCGAAGTAGGCAACGATAGTACATGTCATGCATAAGCATATCTGAACAAATATTCTTCTGGAACCAATGCTGCGTGAATTGTTACGCGCTAGAGCTTAACTTTGTTTTGTTGTGAAACACAGTTGGGACGCTCCATTTGACCTACGGGGAGGTGCTTAATTATTTTACCAATCTCAAATATCCAGTACTTCTCGAGGGGAAACTTTTGTCTGGAATGCCCCACACTAACAGGTCAACGAGAGCTGAGGAGGAGATAACATTGAAGCCACCAGTGTTGCTTGTAGGTCTTGTCCTTTCTTTATTTCTTTATTCTTCATTCAGAAGTTATCACGCACTGAACGAAGGCCTTTGTTCAGGAGAGTTACAAACGCTATTTTTTTGTTGCTTCAGTTGCAGAGCTTATTTGCTAGTCCAAGCAATTCTGTTTCGCAAGTCCCAATATTGCCCTATACACGCGAAACCAGATGACCGTATGTACACCCGTCGGCAATATGAAGGTGAATACCTTACCTGGTTTCTTGCCTGTTTTACGGCTCCCTAAAGCTATAATAACTCTCAACGTCGTAAATGCTACGTGGCTTGGGGGTCTAAACTTTGCGTTCTAGAACTCTTCTGGAACAGAGCTTGTTCCAAAACTTGCAGGAGCGTCAAAAACAAGAGGGCTGTTCACCTTCATATCGTTCACGAGTGTACGTGCCTGCTGGCGGGTGACAGCTCCCCACGAGCGTTTTTGCGCTCCTTTCGCTTTCGATGGCTCCGTGTATGTTGATGCTTCTCAAACTTTACGGTGACAGCGGAGAGAAACAGTCACACACCACATACTCAGAAAGACAAGCAAACGCGCTGAACTAGCAAATCTCGTGCATTCGACTACTTCGTTCTTCTCTTCAGCATCTCGATTGACTTCCCAGAACGTGATAAGCAGAAGAAATAGCAAAATATACAAGAAAAAAAGGCGAACCACTAAACAAAAAAAAAAGAAAAAAGCAAAAAAAAAAAAAAACGAAAAAAGAAAGCAATACGAGAAAAGTAAATCCTTTTTTTCATATCTTTATTTTTACCTTGATTTATTCTTTTCTTTTTTTTTTTCTTTTCTTTTGTCTTGTCTTTCTCCTTTTTATATTTTGCGCTATTTCTTCTGCTTATCACGTTCTGGAAAGTCAATCCAGACGTTTAAGAGAAGAACGAAACAGTTGAATACACGAACGTTGTAAGTTGAGCGCGTGTGCTTGTCTTTCTGAGTTACTGGTGAGTGATTGTTTCTTTGCGCTGTTACCGTAGAGTATCTGGCCCAAACATCCATCCTACCACAATTCTTCGTACCTCGTCTCGTCAAATTAAATGAAGTTTTTGTTCCTAAGCTAAAATTGTCGGTTCCTGTCCTTCCTCCGAATCGAACAAGGAGCAGAGCAAGACGGTGACGAAAATGCGCACACTAGCGTCCTACCAACTGTCCTGCATACTTTCCGAAAGTAATTAAAATACATTGCCAAACAACAAGCATTCCAACTAATAGCATAGCAGAAGTTGTAAGGATATATAAAGCACTCAACTTCGTGCCTTAGGACGATGTATTTTGTGTCGTTCAATTCTATTGTGCCACGTTTTTTGGATGATTGTGCTACACCTCGACAAGGTCTCCAATCTCATCAGCCCTCGAATGGTGGGTCATGTTTTCGATTTTCAGGCCACACAAAGTGTGTAAAGATGCCTGCATGAAGGTGGGTTATACAAAAACTCTGATCGAAAACTGTTAGCGAGTGTCTTCTTGAGGTATTGGCGATGCAGCATGTTAGATTGGTAACAATACTTGGCAAAGAGCTAAGTGCAAAACAAGTTATCATTAAAATCGCTAATTGTGTTATTCTCAACATTTTAAATATAAAAATTAAATGCCTTCAATTAAGTCTTCTTACCTTCATCATACTTAACGCATGTTCCGTTTTTGCAAGTCCCAATGTGTGTGAACTGTGTACTGTTAGCATTTGTAAGAGCCTGCAATGAAAACGTTGTCTCTTAAATTCACATGCTACAACAATATTGACTCATACAGTAATAATATACATCATAGAATGCAAAGCTTCTGGGGTTGAATTTGTACGGCAACACAGATGTATCGGAAAACCAGGGTAATTCGAATATATTGTAATATACCGGGGTTCCTTCGTACAAAGGTATAACGTCTCACGGGTTGGAAACACGGCTGGTGAAATACGTCTAGGCTACCGTGGTTAAGGTATATAGCACGCAGCGGCGATGTACTAGGATTCATGCTCATAGAGCACCTTCATTACAATGAGAATCGCGATCGTTACGCTAAAAGTTTCCGGAAATCTAATCAACAGGTAGGTTTTTCTAGAATATGCCTAAACAAAAATTTGCTTGTCTTGAACAACCTTGATTTGTACAACATATACATTTTTTTGCAATAGGGACGTAAAATAGATTGGAGCGTAATATTTCTTTTGGCACGCACCCCTCCTCGGCAAGCGATGTCAGTTAGGCGTTGAAACATGGGTTAAACTGTTTATTATATACATATTTGTGCCCAGGAACCTAGTTATTCATTCGTTAGCTAATACCACTTTAGTTCTGATTGAGTCATGTTTTATGGAAAGAATATAGAACCAATGAATCAACATATACGCAAGTGCAAAAAATAAAACTGCCAGCGATAATTAGCGTTGAGCTGTAGCATCTTTTTTTTTTTCGTAAATGAGCTATAGATAGTAGCATGCCTAAATATAATTTTTGAAATAATATCATTCAATGTTACGGAATATCACAACCGTAGTGCGAGTGTAAGTTTACTTCTTGACCAAACATCTTATTAAAACAGAACTTCAGAAACGTTTTTTTAGTCTTCTGCAACTAAATTATCATCGAGCATATAAAGAAGCCGCAGGCGTAAAAACGAAGACAAAGTGAAGAAAAGTAGCTCCCAACTACATTACCGTGCTTCATTTAATCATTTTGGAACAGCTAAAAAGGCCGGTGAGAAGCAGACACACACAACACGGAGGGACGCTAACATTGAGCTGGCTTAAACAAAATTTTGTTCAACCTGTACTCCCGCCTACCCTGCTACTGACCACAGTAAAAACCTAACATATTTACGCCCATTACAGAATATATCTTGGAATGCTCGGTTTTAAAAAGAAAGTAACAAGAAATAAAACAAACTTGTAATTTAAGAAAATTGATGGCGTGCCAACGCACTTGTCAGGATATAAAAAAATAAAGCTTTAAGATTTTTTTTTTCAGTTTCAGAAGATGCGTGACCGTCCGCGAGCTGTTTGTGACAACTCTGGGGGACATGTTTACGTACCCTGCATGCGTTGCAGGTGCGAACCGCAGTTATATTTCACAATACTGTTTTAATTGAAATCGCCCCTTTGTACTATGTACGCCTGCCCACAACTTAGCGGAATTTCGGAAACAATAATCGTGGAGCCCGTTTTAAACTGAGTAACGTTCTTGTTGAAACAATGACCGTGTTTTTATTTTGCCATCAAACGGCATATTTTTGACAGCTTGCAAGATTACAAAAACACAGCGCTCAGATAATAATTACAGCTAACTTCTTGATGTTGAGTGAGAGCTTGTGGGGATTTCCCTGGATTTTCGATTTCGACTGCAGTGGGAGTTTTCTGTTGGACTCGACGTTATGTTATGTGTTTTCCAGCAACAGTGATGAACGTGGAAAAAGATCTGAACAACTTTCCTTGAGACAAGTTATATTCTTCTAAACAAATAAATACATCGAACGTCATTGGTCTTATGTAACAATTAAGTCAGTTAAGAAATGTCTGCGCTGAAGTATTATCAAGATTGAGATAATCATGTTAGTCGGCACTTATATAAAACGTATGGATCCGTAAATTTTCTTACGATCTTCAAGGTAACATTCTCAAAGACAACTATTAAGATAATTCCTCCTATTAGAAATAATACTTCTAAGTATGTATATTTTTCTGACAGAATATAATAGTACACTCCACATTACAAAATTGTCCGTTTAAATGAGGTGCGCTCATTCCTTGAGGAATGTACAATAAATGTCAATTTTATAGGTTCAGGTGTTCATATCAAATTATTACAACAAAAAGGTTAAATGAGTTGTCGCACTGCCTCGACAAGGTGACCAGCACGTTTGATTTCAGCAATATTTTTATTTGTTTGCATAAATGAATTGTATAATATCATTTGAACAAGTGACTCGCAATATAAATAACGAATAAATAAATTCGATAAGTGCCATAACGTTATTCAGTCATCTTGGGCTGAAATCTGTACGGCACGGTCATGCCTTGTACATACATTTAAAGGTTACAAATGAAGGAAATAGGGGTAAACAAGATCTTAGTAATTGTGAAGCTATACTTACAACGCACGCGATACCATCTTTATAATCACCCCAATATTCTGTGTCATCGTCCAGTGACCCATTCCTGCAGGTGTAAGTGCAGTGCGGCGAATATCCCAGCTAGTTCACATGAAGAAGAAATTATTCAATACATATATTATACAATGAAATTATACTAAAAACAAACAAAAAAGGAGAACGTTTTAATTTATATAAAACAACCTCGATGCGTATTTGTCTTTAATACTTCAGTTTCTAGCGGAATAAGAAAGAAAGTAGTCGTTAATTAATCCACGCAAGAAAGTGCACTGAACAAAAATGCTGAAAATAGGTACAGAGTTTAAATAAACGGGTTTTGTTTTAGAAGCTCCATCCTTTTAACAATTTTAACTTTAAGCTAACAAGATCTCGATTGACTTTTAACACGCTGTTACCATAAAGGTAAATTTGTTGCGGGGGTTGTCTATGTAAGGTCAGGAATTCGAATAATTATGGCATTCAGCTATTTACTTGTGTTTACTAAAGTTATTTGTTCTCCATTAAAGGTTTTCGTATCTGTTCTTGAGTAAAAGGCGAATGAGCACAAAAGACCATAAAACTATAGGGCTATCAAAATGAACAAGACATGTCTCTCTGTGCGTCAGAGAGGAGGCGAGAATCTACAAGAGGCACTGATCACGTGTGCATCGAAACGCCGCCCCCTGACGCCATTATTTGTGGTTGTTTAGAAACCACCTCCACTTTGATTTTTTCATGTCGTTCCTGGTGATTGCATGTTGGCAAAGAACAACATTCTGTTTGAACTCGTTTCTGTTTCTTTTCTCGAGTGCAGAGTTCTGGTTCTCAAAGTATTGGCGAATTTTTGACAGCCGTAAACATTGAGGTGGCTTAGCTCGGCTATGCCAGGATATACGTAGCGTGAGCCTGTGCCCACAAAATGAGAGGCGCTATCAGGCGGCTCCGGTGCAGCGTCAGACTTGGCTACTGCGCAACGGAGGCGCACAGCTGGGCACGCGGCGGCGCCAGTGCGTTTGCCGCGGCTATGACGTCACTCCTCTGGAATGCGCAGACCGGCGAGGCGGGCGTGGCGGCGGCGGAGCGCGCGGCGGCGGTGGCTCCGGCAAGCCAGCTGTGCGCTGTGTGACGTCACTGCTCCTCGCGCATGCGCAGCACTGAGCACGGCTCATTATGCGAGCAACGCGAAACTGCTCAACCTCGGCCAGTGTAGCTCACGCTACAAAAAGACAAGGCAGCCATGAATACGGTAACAGACAATGTGGGAGCTTAGAGCCCCGACGCAGCTGCATCGTTTGCGCAAAAAGCTGACAGTCTTTTGCCTCGTATAAGAACATACGCTACCAACTGTACCTCGAAATCAGAGCTTGCGCTGTGACTTCACTGCACCGGCGATCCAAGGAGCAGACGAACTTACTTGGCGTATACAATCATGCACAGTTAAACAGAAGTTGTGACAAATATTGTATTCAAGAAAGAATCAGCTTTAATAAAATACTGAAAAGTATTTCTATTAATTTTAGGCATAGCCGAATATAGTACGTCTGCGCAGTGTTACGCTTGCAGGAGGCTATTTAACGTGAATCTGTATGCCTTTATTGGAGTAACTGAGGGTGTTCGGTTAGCTGAAAGTGTTTAGTTAGGATGGCACTCATAGAGGTGTTTCTTTGAAAAATTAAAATATGAAAATTATACATTGATTTTTAAAATGGGGTCGATACGAGCAGACACGCTGTAATTTAAACGGGTACACTATTTCCTGTAAAGTTATAGAATACAACAACGTTTGGGATATATCTGCTATATTTATGCATTTTCTGAAGGAAAAATAAGGCAATGTTATGCCTTTCCTATTAGTCTAACTTATATTTTTTTTAAATACCCTTTAGCAAGAATCGTGGTGCTGTTGTTTGCGGTTTAACTAAACAAACAAGCCATTCGGAGACAATTCTAAAAGGAACAAGGCTATGCGTATTGTAAAGCCCGATCACTAGAAAAGGTGAGAATAGGTTGAATGATAAAAGTTATAGAGACGCAGGCATAGGCAGCTCAGAAGAGCGAAAATTCTGCTTAGAGATGTTCTTTAATAATGATAGGGCCGGTTACCCGAAATTAGTTCATCTCTACAGGCCGGACGCAGGGTGCTCGCCGGCTGCAGGGGCGCTCTGACGCCGGCTGCTCAAAATTACATGAAATTATTAGTTATCTGAGGTTTTGAATAGTCATGATAAGATGCCGTGTAAATGCATACTATTATAGGTCATTTTGTAGTCAGCGCAAGTAACACTTTTGCATTTTGCCCGGAAATATAGATATTAGTCGAATAGGCCATATCCGTTTGTAGCGCAGAGGCAAAATGTAGCTGATTCGCTTCTTGGCTAATTTTATTGTAGGTGACACTGACAGATGACGCAAGATATGTAGTTATAATATACATAAAGACGGCTGCGTGCAAATGCGCATCTTTAATACGCAGCAGAGTACTGCGATTATCGTGCGGTGACGCGCTGAGGAACAAGCGAGACGCGGCATCGGGCCTCAAAAACAAGATAAAAAGTAAAACGTAAGTAAACAGGTGGGCATATTTACTCCCATATTTAACGCAAAAAACTACCGGCAAAAGAAAAGCACAATGCGTAGGGTGTTTTAGGACGTCTGTTCTTTTTTTTGTGTTTCAACTATGTGTAGAGGTGCTTATGCATTCATTTAGGACTTTGATGATTATCTAAACGGAGATAAAATAGGATTCTCCAGGTACTCTAAGACTGGTATATATTTAATGCAGGGTGGGGTACATGACAGGTACGTAACCATTTGCGTTCGGAAACCAGGGACGGAAGTCAATAAGCCGACTGGCTGCCGAACGCTGGGAAGCGCTCGTCACACTGATTGGTCATAGATGTAAGCCGAACGCCTTCCACGTGTACATCCGTGTTAATCCACGCAAGGATCAAATATTATGTGTTCAAGCAGACAGCGGTGCTCGTTTCCGTGCAACAAGCACGCTCCTGGCCCCACAGAAAAATATCGGAAGAGACGACAGAAAATAAAAAAAAGGAAAGCGGATTCTGTTTCGTTCTCTTTTGCCACGAGCTGGCACCTGAGTTCTGTCCACGGTGCAGTGTTTCAGTTGTATTGTTACTTGTGGTGCACACCGCTTTAGCCCCTCCATTTTATTTGAAGCAAATAAATTGCTGACGTTACCTCTCACGCCAACCATTCTGCCCATGTGTACACAGTTTCCTCTCTATAACGCATCACGTTCTGCGTAACTACTGCCTATGTCAAGCTAGTGGTAAAGGCAGCGGTTACACAGGAAGGGGCATGGCATTAACGTGGGAATTTTCCCACCATTCACACTGCTACTTGAGGTACTCCTGTCTACTACTCTCGCGGTGGCTGTACCTGCCAGCCCACCGTTCTTCTACCAGCCTGGATAAAGATCTGCCTGTATACACCTTTGCGAAAATCGTCTTCTGTGCGCTGCCATTTTTGTCTGCTGGGCTGTGGAATACAGACTTGCCTAGATTGTTCCGTTACTAGATGGACTGGATATATGGTAGCTATAAGCGAGCACAATTTTCGACAAGCTCAGCTTAGTGCGGAACCTCATCTAGTTCCCAACGGCAACTAGGGACGTCATGTGACGCATCAGGATCTTGTAGAGCCCACCCAACCCATCTTCCAGTTGGGGCACTGAATTACCATAGGAACTGTCAAGCCAGACACATTTCCATGTCAGGTACTCCTGGCTGCAATTCTCGCGGTGGCCCCATCTGACAGCCTTCTGTTCCTCTATCAGTCTGGATAGAAATTTCCCTGTATACCGACTTGCCTGGATTGTTCAGTTTCTGGATCCACTGGGTATAAGGCTTCTACAAGCCGGCCCACATTGCGGGCAGCAACACCTAGTACGAAAATTCATTGGCGTCTCGCAACTAGGTGCGTGATGTGAATCGCGTCAGAGTCTACAGAAACCCGCACGATCCGTCTTTCAGTTTGGGCTCAGCATGTCGGAACTGTCAAGCGATCAACCTGTCTACTTCAGGTACTCCAGTAGCTATTCTCGCGGTTTCCCTACCTGCCAGACCGCCGTTCTTCTATCGGCCTGGATACTGATATCTGGAGAACCGAACAAGGTGGACAAAGGACAAACACCAATCTCCAAGCACAGCTAGGTGCGCGAGCGGAAAAATCCGCCTGGTCTCAGTCAGAAACGTGGGGAGATCTGAAAAGAACATAATTTGATTTTGCTTGCACAGTTTAGAGTTCATTTTAACCCCTCGAATCTCAGAATATCATATAGTTTAGGTCGATAAAAAAAAAAAAGCCGAATTGTCGCAAATTTTTTTAAATTTAAAATTAAGGAACCAATTTTGGCGTCAGGTTACAGACTGAAACGCAATACATTCGCGATAATAAAGGAATAGACCAAATCGTATCGGCCTTACGCGTGGCAAGTTATTTCGATTTTCACACACCCTTCAAAATCTGCTGAGACAAGCTCCTCATCAATAAGAAGCGTTACGTAAACGGTCCTGTAAAAGAATACGTAAGGTATCTTAGTGCATAGATAAACTATAATAAGAAGGCCGGGAGCCCACCTCCAACCTGCTGTACTAGCTAAACTAAAAAATAGCAGCGTGATATTTTTAGTTTTAGAAACGTTCGATGTTTCATGCGATAAAAGAAATAGATATGCAGCTTTGTCAACGATAGCCAGTCTGATATTGCTGTATTTAGAAAACAAATTGGCTAAAATAGGACGTTAATGACGATGAACCTTTCTTTATCAGTATACGAACTTTTTTATGAGAATATGAACCTTCTTTAAACCGTCCTTCCTTCCTATCACAAAAGGCGAATAGAATAATCTTCCTAAAAGTTTTTTCGAATCAGAATTACTGGCCATCTATAACGACGCGCTACTCAAATTTTTTTAGCCAGTTAGTTTCCCTTTATTGCATTGGTGTGTTTTGTTTTAGTCATTTTGTTTGGGTTCTTTCTGCCTTGGCGTTTAAATAAAGATGCTGGTAGTATAGAAAAATAAATAAATAAAGATCCCTGTCGTTTATCTCGACAACAGTTTAGGTCCTATAGCTTACGTCGTGTCGCTTTTTCCTCTAACTTTTAATAACTTAGTTCCGCCTCTTGCCATGAAAAAAGGAATAATCTGGCAAAGCCCATTACAAACTTTCGCTATTTGGATTGTAGAACAAGAAATCTTATTGGATTCTATCTAGACTTCAGGTTTCCAAAAACATTGCGAGTTAGATTTCTTGTTCCATAATCCAAATAGCGAAAAGTTATATTGGATTTTGGAGGTAATGTGTATTATCTGATAATAATTTGTATTCAAGTCATGCTCTCAAAAATGAGCACCGCTTGGTCCACACAAACAATATATTTTGCTCTTGATTTTTGGTTCTTTTTTGTCTATGCCAATGTTTTCGAAAGGCAACTTTTTATTCTACTTTAGTTCGTATTCGTAGAAAAATGTAGGGCGGTTGTGAAGTTAATTGATGCGTATTCTAGAACCGTTGTTCCAAGTCGATGAGAGTGCCTAGATTAATAAATCACCTTTTAATCCGCTTTGTGTGCGTCAGAATACAGAGGATTAAAGATTTTAAAACGCAAAACGCAAAACAAATTTTAGAGAACAATAAATACTAAAAGAAAACGTTGAGGGCGAGGTCACTGTAGCTGTACGGGTTACATTCAAGCAGCAGACGTATTTTTTCCAGGGTGGGTGGACGCTATTGCATAAATAAAACATATATTTACGCTGATTCTAAAATAAAATTGGAATTTAGTAAAAAAAAGCTTTAAGAGACAGCGGTATTTGAGCGTTCAATTAATGTGAGTTAATTGTTTTTTTTATAATGCCCTGTAAGTGCAGGGGCACCAGGCCCAGTCAAGCTACCTCATGGAAGCTTTTTGTCTGGTGCCCTCAGCACAATATTGCTGAAAATAAATATTACTTACTTACTTACTTACTTACTTACATAAATAAAATAAATGTTTAATTTCTACCTGCTGCCAAAAGAATAAAAGAAGTTATAAAATAATAACAGCAAGGCATTGGTATCAGACGGCCTCTCGTTATTGGAATGTGCCTTTGAAAACAAAAATCATTGGGCAAAATAGAAGTTGCTTCAAAAATAATTTCTTGATTGTCGCGTAAAAAAAAAGAAGAGAAACGAAGCATTCAAAGCAATATAAAGGAAATGTAGCAATGTTTGAAAATATCCAGAAAAAAAGCCTGAAGTGTACCTTTACATTAATTATATTTTCATAAAAAAGGGACAAGAACACTCTAGAAGTGTATGCTCTTGGAGTATTTAGAACTGCAAGCTGTTGAGATTAAACCGCCAAACGAAATAACGCCAAAAAGGACTGCACGCCGGTTCTTTTACGGCGCTTTCATTCACACAACATAGTATACAGAAGACTTAAATAAGTTTTAGAAGTTTCTAAATGCCTATGGACTCCCATCGCTCTGTGTTACGTTTGAGATCAGAGGCAGGTTTGAGTAATAAACATGGACTCTTAAGCCAGTTTGTTTCTAGTTTTATATTATTCCAGACAGTTCAAATAGAAGTGAGATGAGCTTTGACACTGTGCTTTACCTATGATATCTTGAACCAGATTTAGTTATTCTGAGAATACTGCTATGGTTTTTAAGTTTCTTCTGCATCCGAAAACCTGCCATAAACAAGCAGTGAAGTTGCGTCTGCTCATTCTTTTTGTTCTATCGAGAGTGATGTAGTCTCATGGACTTTTTTTTTTCTATGAAAAAATACACCGTGTTCATACTGTTCTTTATGATAACTTTCCCGCTTAGTGTACAAGATCTACAACAATTAAACACTAAGTTGAAGCTTACGCAGAGAGCTGCACTAAACGATATACAAACACGGCTCAATAAAACAAGAAATTGACTACACTGCGACTACTCATAAAAATGAAAAATCACTTACATCGTAGAAATCTCCGTCTGGACATCTCTTCAAATCCGGATCGAGTTTAACGCAGGTTATTTCACCTGCTAAGCGGAGCACAAATAGGCCGAGGTATAACTCACGTGAAGCAATAATATATATAATTTGAGGGCTTACCTAAACAAGCGACGATTACAATGAAAAGACTCGCGGCCGGCATTATCAGTTCTTGCAAGGAATTGAAATATAAAGAACGATAAACTAGTGCGATATCCGCCTAAGGTACGTCCTGAGGAAAAGGCTAGCGCTGTCTCTCTCTGCAAGCGGTAGCTAATCCCCCTTTTTATACATGAGGTTGTGTGAGTTAAGACACTGTCACCCATAACAACAATAGACAAAGAGAGCGCGTCGTTCGCCTTATAATATGACTTGGCGAAAGTGAAGAGATCTGTGATGGGTTGACGTTCAAACACCTGCTATGCGTGATCTTACTCTGAACAATTCAGCTCAGACACTTGGACCTGTTGAAAGGCACAACAACAATGGTTGTTTGTGAAGCTAAAGAAAATGTGCCTAAAAAGCGTGCATGCTCAAAAAAAAAAAAAAAAACTGTAGCAAGAGCCAAGTTGGTAAAAAGACCTTGTGCCAAGCGAAATACCTTGTGTGAGGAACTTTAACACTATTACGTAAAGAAAAAGAAAACATGTAGAATATGCACTTTGAAATGGTACTGTGGAAGCAGCTTTCTAGAAATACCGTCAGGTTAGAACGTTTGTTTCTACAAAATCGGTGGAAAGGAGTGATTGTTTGATCTATTATTTTAGCCATGCTATCATTTGTGGGAGAATGTACGATCAATATTTATTGTGGAATTCTTAGGAATATAATGAATTCTTATATTTGCAGAATTCACAACCTAAGTTTGGCAATACTGAAGCCTACGGACTTCTGGGTAAAATATTGCAATTCAAGTGTCAAGTAATTTGTGTCTGAAATAAAAGAAAGGTACAAGAAGTACGAAGCACGTGATGTACAGCCTCCCTCAAACGTAATACTCTAACGGGACCCCCTACACTATTAAGCAATTTTCCGCAAGTCGGGAATTGACCTGTCGGCGAAGAAGCAGCTCTTGCTATTCTGTTTGGAACAGTGACCAACGTTTTAGATTGTAACCGCGTACGGAGGTGGCTATTAAAATAGTGCCAAACAAGACTCATGCGGGCTAATAAACGGCGGAAGTTAGTCAAAAAGCTATTTCATTTTCTATCTGTAATGTAATAAATATTGAAATATTTACTTGTCTAACGAACATAGTGAAACAAAGCACAAAAAAACGTGCATTTAAGATAAAAAAGGGGGCAACACAATACCGTCTAAAAACTCGACTGCAAATTTTATTTTGACGCGACTCCTTTGCACAGGGTGTCTTTGTAAGATTAACTGATCTGTTTTAAAAAGATCCTTGAAAGTTACAGTTATGCGGTTTTTGCAGGTGAGTTGTACGGCCAGGCGGACATAATATGAAGACTAATCGTAGCGATCTGTCCGCTAATTAGGTGAAATTTGTTAGTTAACTTGTAATTAGTGAAAATAGACACATGGTTCCAATAAAAATAAACTAGCTGAGCGGCATCAAAATACATTATATCAATAATTTTGAGACATATTTTGAGCCGGCGAGAAGCGCAGTTGTGCGCTAAACTAATCGTTCGTGCAGCAGGATCACAGCTGCCGGAGCGATAACGTGCCTGCGCGACGTTTTCCGTTTCTTATCATAGCCCCAGCCTTGGTACCTGTTGCAGAAGTTTATTTATTTATTTATTTATTTAGAAAAACTACCAGTTTCCATCGGAAACTTTAGTAGGGTGGTTACAAGGTAAAACACAATTTACATACTTTATAGTGCAATGTTAAGAACAAAAAAAAAATGACAGTGAGGAGGATGGGGCTACTCAGTGGAGACACGGGAGGATCTTGATACAATTATTACACTTGTAAATGGTGAAAATATCATTAAGCCACTAGAATAGGATAGGATGAATCGATAGGAACAAGTAGAATACACATCATATTGTCACGGGTGGTGACCAAAAGAAAACAGAAAATGAACAAGAATAAATAAACGTTTAATGTGGCGAACTTGTGCCAAAAATAAAAGGGCACAAAAGAAAACAGCACAGCGTCGCGGGCGTCGATGTCGGCGAAACCGCAGGATCGAGCGCAGAGGCGAGACTGACTCGACAAGGTCGCGGGCGGCCTCTTATCTAGAATGAGTCACTATCTCGAAGATTCGGCGGGGAACGTTCGAGCGTAGCGCGCTTGGGGCGAGAATGAACACGCACTTTCTAGAACAACAAAAACGATAGAGGTTATGTTCGCAGCAAGAACAAACGAGAACCCTCTGCAAGTCTGCGCGCGGCATTATCCCCCCCTTTAAAAGCGCATCGTCCCGATGCAGCACAAACCGAAAACAAAGCAAACAGAAATAACGGTAAACTAAAGAGTCATTTCGAACACATAAGGTCCACAGTCCTATCGAGCGTAGTACGGCTTCATGCGCACGACGTGGACGACTTCTGGTCTTGGAGGGCGGCGTGATGAAGTCCGTGTTCCATCGGGCATCACCTCGTAGTTCAGATCCCCGAGTCGACGAAGCACTTTGTAGGGTCCAAAGTAGCGCTTCAGGAGTTTCTCGCTGAGACCACGGCGGCGGATCGGTGTCCAGACCCACACCCTGTCTCCCGGCTGGAAGTGGACGTCCCGGCGACGAAGGTTGTAGCGGCCAGTGTCGATACGTTGTTGGGCTTGAATCCGGAGTCTGGCGAGCTGACGGACTTCTTCTGCCCGTTGGGCAACCACCTGGGCGTCGTCGCTTCCGTCGACAGCCGGTTCGTGGGGTAACATTGCGTCCAGCATTGTCGTCACTTTGCGACCATGAACCAGTTGAAAGGGTGTAACCCCGGTGGTTTCCTGCACGGCCGTATTGTAGGCAAAGGTGATATACGGCAACACCTCGTCCCATGTCTTGTGCTCCATGTCGACGTACATGGAAATCATGTCGGCGATGGTCTTATTGAGTCTTTCCGTCAGCCCGTTGGTCTGAGGGTGGTACGCCGTAGTGCGACGATGGCTGGTGTGGCTGAGACGAAGGACTTCTTGTGTCAGCTGGGCCATGAACGATGATCCACGGTCTGAGATCAGGACTTCAGGAGCGCCGTGCCGGAGGACGATGGATTCAATGAAAAACTTGGCAACTTCCACAGCAGTTCCGGAAGGAAGGGCTTTCGTTTCGGCGTACCGCGTAAGATAATCTGTGGCGACGATGATCCAGCGATTTCCCGACGTCGACGGTGGAAAAGGGCCAAGTAGATCCATTCCGATCTGTTGGAAGGGTCCCGTTGGCGGAGGAATGGACTGCAAGAGTCCGGCCGGCCTCGTCGGAGGCTTCTTTCGTCGCTGGCATTCATGGCATGATCGTGTGTATAGGTGGACGGTTTTGGGGAGCTTGGGCCAGTAATACTTTTCACGAATACGGGCCAGTGTCCGGCTGTAACCAAGGTGTCCGGACGTCGGGTCGTCGTGGCAGGCTTGGAAGATCTCCTCCCGAAGGTCGATCGGGATTACCAGCAGCCACGTCGAGTTGTTGTTCCCGAAGTTCTCTTTGTAGAGTACACCTTGTCTAATGGCGAAGGTCGACAGGGCTCGTGAAAAAACACGTGGTATGGCACTCCCACGCCCTTCCAGGTGTTCTATTAGTGCGCGCAGCTCAGGATCGTCTCGCTGACGTCGGGCCATGTCGTCGCTGTTCACTGCGCCCAGGAAACACTCGTCGTCATCGTCGTCGTTGCTGTCGGAAGGTGTTTCGACGGGAGCTCTGGACAGGTAGTCGGCGTCGCTGTGCTTGCGGCCTGACTTGTAGACTACGGTCATGTTGAACTCTTGTAGTCGGAGACTCCATCGAGCAAGGCGTCCTGACGGGTCCTTGATGTTCGCAAGCCAGCAGAGCGAATGGTGGTCCGTGACTATGCGGAACGGGCTTCCGTATAAGTACGGACGAAACTTCGTGATCGCCCAGACGACCGCAAGGCATTCTTTTTCAGTCGTGGAGTAATTTCGCTCCGCCTTGGACAATGTCCGACTTGCGTAGGCGATGACTCGCTCGGTGCCTTCTTGTACTTGAACCAGTACCGCGCCAAGTCCTGCGTTACTTGCGTCTGTGTGAATCTCGGTTTCCGCATCCTGGTCGAAATGTCCAAGAACGGGAGGCGCCTGCAGTCGTCGCTTCAGCTCGTCGAATGCCTGCTGCTGCTCCTCGGCCCATTCGAACTTCTCGGCGTCCTTCGTGAGGCTTGTGAGCGGTGCGGATATCCTCGCGAAATCTCGAACGAAGCGCCGATAGTAGGCACATAGCCCAAGGAACCTTCGCACGGCCTTCTTGTCTGCCGGCGCTGGAAATGCTGCGACGGCGCGAGTCTTCTCTGGGTCGGTGCGAACGCCTTCGTGACTGACCACGTGACCTAGGAACTTCAGCTCGTCATAGGCGAACCGACACTTTGACGGCTTCAGGGTGAGTCCGGCGGTCCGTATGGCTTGGAGAACAGCTCGCAGTCGTCGCAGGTGCTCGTCGAAGTCGCTGGAAAACACAACGACGTCGTCGAGGTAGACGAGACAGCTCTGCCACTTCAGTCCTGCCAGTACGGTGTCCATGACACGCTGGAAAGTTGCTGGCGCCGTGCACAGTCCGAACGGCATCACCTTGAACTCGTACAGCCCATCCGGTGTGACGAAAGCTGTCTTCTCTCGGTCCCGCTCGTCGACTTCGATCTGCCAGTAGCCGCTCTTCAGGTCCATCGATGAAAAGTATCGGGAGTGGCGCAGCCGGTCTAACGTGTCGTCGATGCGGGGGAGTGGATAGACGTCTTTCTTCGTTACCACGTTCAGCTGCCGGTAGTCCACGCAGAACCTAAGCGTTCCGTCCTTCTTCTTAACCAGTACGACTGGGGAGGCCCATGGACTGCTTGAAGTTTGGATTATGTCGTCATTCAGCATCTCTTGAACTTGCTGATGGATCACCTCCCTTTCCTTAGCGGAGACTCTGTACGGCGATCGATGCACAGGGCGCGCGTCGTCCTCGGTAACGATGCGGTGCTTGGCAACCGCGGTCTGGCGCACCTTCGACGACGTCGCAAAGCAGTCGCGGTATTCGGCGAGGAGGTTAAC